AATATCGTAAAGTAACAGCGACGGTAGCTTCCAGCGGTACACAGCTCCATAGATGTAACTATTTAAAAACTGCATATCTATCAATCATATATATGCAGTGCACGCACAATACAAGCTCGAAACAAAACAATTGAGCAATGAACATAGAGACATCCAAATTTTACCTGATATCGCTTTACAATCAAATCCCAATTGAAGTACAGGTGAAATGGAGTAATAAAGTCGAGTTGCTGAAATTTGCAACATTCCTTCATACATGCAGGTAGGAACATGAAAGTGTTAAAAAAGCACAGACTGGAATCTCAAAAACCGAACGCTAAATGATCGGAACAAAGTACCCTTGAGAAAAATCCCCCATATGAATAGTTATCTGAGTACGAATTTCATTCAAAATACGATGACGGCTAGCGGATGTCAGTCGCTAGGGCAGAAAACGACTTTTTATCCCAGAGAATGGTGTTTTGTGAACAAAACAAAGCCAGAAACCGAAGACTTCTTATCTTGCCGCTCGAAGCTTTTCGCTACGGAAACCCCAGATCCACTCATGATCAGGGGTGGCCCAGGAGTTCCCGTACGCCGCAAAAAACGAAAAAGTCTATTTCTGTCCAATCACACCACTGTGAACGCACATAAAATGAACTCACCACCGCCATAGTTGTTAAGATGCACGCGGTCGTGTACGCCCGTGTAATCGGAGGCATATCCATATAGACATCTACGAGATTTTGCATCTGAATAGTATGGTCAATGAGTCAAAAAGAGATGAAACCAGCTATACAACGACGTCTCTTCTGATCTTTCTGTTACTTCTTCCCAGATTTAAAATACCCTGTTCATTGTAAAACGTCCCACGTGAGCAGTTCTTGTTCAAAGATAACGTCAAGATTTTCCAAAACCGTTGCAAATATTGAGGTTAGGTTTTGAAAACCTCACATTACAAACAGAATACGATTCAAAAAAATTTCTTATAACATCAATACAAGAAGATAATTGACCTAATCGAACTCACAAGGTAATTCACCAGTCACAACAAGATCTACAGTAACACTTGCAGAAACAAAAAAAATAAAACAAAAAAACTAGATAACAAAATCAACAAACTAGATGTGAAAGCGACCGGTGCCAGTAACCACCGCATTACAAAGCTGAATTTTTCAATAATAACAGAAAGTAGTGTAACAATTATATAAATACACTCAATCAACACGCATATTTTCTACCAGCTTATTAATTAACAATATTGTCCTAACCAGAGTTTACAGTAGAACACCGATCAAGAAATCAAATAGGAAAGATCTGGAAGTCGTGTGTGGAACAAATAATAAAGAACGCGAAAAGATCGAGAAAGTGCATAGTACCTAGTACTGCTCAAGGATCAGATCAAGAGTAAGGTAGTTCCTCATTCTTCTGATTAAAACACTTCTATTATATGAGAGAAGGGATAGTTTTTGTTAGGAACAAAAATGATAATAAAGAGCCACAAAATCGAAGAAAGTGACTAATCAGAAAGAGTGAAATCCATTGAAAGCCCTTCTATGGTGTCAAAATTGTGCTCTTGTCACTCGCAGCCAATTGCGTAAGTAGCTTATTCAAACGGTTCACCATACCACTGGTGTCCTTCAGAAGACCTGACGTGATCAGAGCATTATCGTAGATCTGAAAATATTGGTGATTAATTTGCATGAAAATTCCAGTTGATTCTCACATAATTGTGAGAAAACTGTGTCAAAATTCGCTCCAGAGCAGAAAAGTCCAGCGGAGGTCCCTGCAGATAAAGAAAGACACGATCAAAAGTCAATGAATTCCCCTTCCATATGATCGCATAATTCATGTGCATCTCGTGATTCCTCACAAATGATCGAATGCAGACGGATGAAGGAATGCAAAGAAAAAAATGAAGAAAAATGAAACACCAACGATAAGCAGCGCTACAAAAATGATCACGACCAAGATCAGTGAGAGAATCAGATTTTTCTGTCGAATTCTCACATGAAACGGGATTTCGAAGCCTTTCCTTCTCTAGAAGCAGTATAAGCTTTCAGGTTCAATTCTACCTACCTGTGAAACGAGAAGTTCTGCTGTTTTTGGATCAGTTCTCTTCATGTTATAAAGACTTTTGATCAAAGGATGCGATAGATTCACATGAAGGCATGGTTGGAGAAAGACCTAAAAACATTCACCTTCTTTTATGAAACTTTCTAAACTTTATTAGAAACAAAGGATAAAATAAGTAAAAGAATACCAAGTGCTCCATATCTTTGATTTCACCGGTCCGCAGCAAATGCCTTGCAGCGCCCATCTCATGCTTGATTGTCAACATCACTGGATGATCACTAGGTCGGTGATGCCCAGCTATATCATGAACCTGAAATCCAAAATTACCACTTGAATTGGTCAGAATCTGCGAAGTAAACAGCCCTTCATTGAGTAGAAAGACCTACTTTCACTGATCCTAGCGTGGTCTTGATCCAATCAAGCAATTCCTTTTTGTTGATGTCACGAAACTGCTCTGAAGTTCAAATATGTTTTCAACGAACAAGAAAACAGAACAGGAGCTACTTCTCCAGAAACTCACTTGTATCCGCCTTCTCCGTGTCTGCGGAAGCAGCACTCTCAGCCCACTTCTCAACTCCGACCAAACTCTTCATTTGAAATTGTCCCAACGAAAGAAAGACCACCTACGATGAAGGGATACATTATAGGTACAACTGTTTGTCTATCGGTTTGGACCATGGAAAACAGCAGTATTTCAAACCTCATCGGCTGGTTCGTAAAGGAAGAGAACCTCCTTGTTTTGGGATTTGATCAATTCGTAGTAAGGAGATGACTCGGCGAGTTGTCGGCTAGAATAACCATTGATAAGAAAGAAAAACATTTAAGCCAGACTGAGATTAGAAAGTCTACAAATTCAACTGCAGAAATCTTCTCATGAACAGTAAGCCTGCGGCCGAAGGATGTGATACAGTAGAGTAAGGTACCTTGGAGAAAACATGTAGAATATATCCTTCTGATCTTCTTGCATTCGCTTGCAGTACTCGGTGAGATTCGTAAGCACACCTGGTTTCAGGTTTGAAGACTCGAATAGCAATAACTTTGCGATCTCCTCCTACAAGCAACTTAACATCAAATAAAAACAAGGTAAAGAGAAACGAATAGGGTGAAAGAAAACAAACCATGATTTTTCAAAATGTTCTCAGGTAAGAACCCAACAAACTGACCTTGTTCCCATGTTCCATCTCCGTAACAATACCTTCCTTGAAATAAATGCTGTACTGCTTATAGAACTCTTCATATTTTTCGTGATCCTTCTTCATTTCATTTTGCAGAAAACTCAAGACTTTGTCCGTAAGAATCTTTTTCAATTTCCTGGAAAGAAGAAAATGTACAAAAAAATGGATTCACAATAAAGCGAATGTAACAAGAGCCTCAAACAGGGTTATTGGCGAGCATTCTCCCTACTAGATTCAGAAGGCAATGTCTTCGGGTCGACGCACACCGCATTATAAGTGTAGATAACTGGAAAAGTCATAATTCTATGAAGTAGAATTCTGCGTTCCCTTGTGCCAAAGAGCGTTCCATGGCACAGTCGATCCTCTCATTGGAGAATTCAAGAAAGTCGGATAAACGTAAACAAGCACACAGACTAAATCAGCCGTGAGCGACAATGTGCTTGCCTCAACAAGCCAATAATGTTTATCAAGTAGCAAAGCAAGCCCGTCTATTGAGAAGATAAAAAAGAAGGCAGTTAATATGTAAAAATAGAAAGAAAGTAAGCGAAAAAGAAGAGTAAGGAGTAATTCAAAAAGAAACCAACTTTTGGCAGAAGTTCGACAGCGTTTGGCTTGATAAGTACTCTTTTCGCATACAAAGACAAGCCGCATTCTCTGTTGTGCGCATGTGCAGCATATTCAAGTATTGAGAACTTATGCTGAGGGATGTACAGCACGGATCGCAACGAGACTGGCGTGTCAGTCTGCAATAAAAAAAGCGCTAAAAATGGAAAAATAATATGAGAGTCTTTAGCATAACGTCGCATCAAAAATGACTTCGATGAAACTGAGTGGAAAACCCATAATCGAAAGAAAACGGTATATCTGAGCCCTATGAAGTTGACAAAAATCACCTTGTAATGGATGGTGTAGCTTGGCCTATGTAGATAATCGGACTTTTTCTGCTGTTTTGCCAATTGCCTGTAAACAAAATCGATGAAAACTGTGCTAAAGAAGCAAACTGTGCCAAAGAAGCAACTAAATGAAAACAATCTAGTGCATAAATTAAAAGAGAACGCACTGGAAGAATGTTTCGTGCATCTCCTTGGTGACGTCCTTCGGCTGCAATGTCCATATGGCATTCAAGCTATTCACACGTTCCCCATTGAGAAGAATCGGGGCAGCGACAAAATAGGAGTACTTATCGATTATCTGAAAAAATCTCATGGAAACTGTTGTGAATTGATCTAATATTACAATTGGAGCCTTGAGCCAATTTCCGAAAATGAGAGCCATCAAACCATCTGCTCTCAGATAATCCATACATACCTAAACTAAGCCCTATAGCAATTTAAATGGAAAACTCTACCTCTTTCACTTTTTCAGCTTTCGAGAAATCAGCCGAATCGCCAGCTTTCAGATGAATTTGCACGCGAGTACCAGTTGGCAGGCCATTCTCTTCAGATATTTCATAGGAGTTATCGCTAAAGCATTACAATTTTGCCGACTGGAAGTGCTGGCTTTTGTGGGTAACTTAGGAAGAGCTTCGAATTGAATACTAGCTGGAAGCACCAGCACCATAACAGCAACGCTACTAGGTTAGAATGCTACAACGTAAAGTATAATCTGGAATGAAGCTTTGAGACCATTTCCCTACCCATTCCAAGTCCATTTCAATCCTTGCTGCTCGGTTGCGCCGACTTTCCTTGTAGTAACAACCACTGATTCCGCTACCATGAACGCAGAATAAAATCCCACACCAAACTGACCAATGACAGCTTCTGCGTTGTCCTTATTCTAGAACGATGGACATGAAAAATTCGAATAAATTAAAATCAAATTAAAGTGGTGCCTTCTCGATGAAATCTTTGCTGCCAGACTTGGCGATTGTTCCCAAACATTCAAGCAGATCTTCGCGATTCATTCCAATGCCAGTGTCCTCGAATGTGATTGTGCGATTAGCCTAAATATGATAAACTTTGCCACCTCTGAGATATAAGCGATAGGTAACGATAGAATGAGGTTCACCTCATCAGTAATGACACGAATTTCGCTCGGTCCTTCTGCTATTTCTCCCGTCAACTCGGCGCATCTTCGCTTCTCCAACGCATCGGATGCATTGGAGATGAGCTCCCTGATAAACACCTAAATGTGCACTTTCACACAACACACGATGTTCCTTTCGTTTACGTAATATGATTTTTCTTGCTTAATAAACACGAGACATGTCGTAATGCAGATTTAGACTAGTGCCAGAGTCCGCGATCCATCGCGCGATTCGCGCGACGGATGGCAGAAATCGAAGTGCCTCGATCAAAACTGCGGAGTGCTCTCCAATCCCACCGCTA